GACACCAACCGGCTGCTTTTCCCACGGATGACTCCAAAGTGGCTTTCATGATCTCCCATCTCTCCGGTCGAGCAGCAGCGTGGGCTACGGCAGAGTGGTCCCGAGGCTCTCCCATCTGCGGGTCTCTGGACGACTTCATAGACACGATGAGAAAAACTTTTGATCAAACCACTCCGGGCAGAGAAGCAGCTCGGGCTCTGATTAAGCTGCGGCAAAATCAGCGTAGTGTGGCTGACTACACTATCAAGTTCCGGACTATTGCAGCCGACAGCGGCTGGAACTCCGCTGCATTGTTTGACGCATTCGTCAGCGGTCTCTCGGATCCTCTACAAGACCAGCTGGCGCCTCTCGATCTGCCCGCTGACTTGGACTCCGTCATATCCATGGCAATAAGAATAGACAATCGTTTGGCAGAGAGGAGAAGGAATAAATTCAAGGATGCGGTTGGTCCGTCTCTCCAGAGGAGACGCTCGCCGCCGGATTCCACTTCTTCTTGGAGGCCCCGCCACCCCTCACCACCTGCGTTCCGGACATCAGCGCCCCCTGGCTCCGTGGAGGAGCCAATGCAGTTGGGTCGTGCTAAGCTGTCTATGGCAGAACGTCAGCGTCGGTTAAAGGAGGGTCTGTGCTTCTACTGCGGTCAGCGCAGACATCCACAAGCTGCTTGTCCGGTAAAAGAGGAGGCTCATCAATAAAGAGGAGGACGTTGGTGAGCCGAATCTCTTCCTCTGATTTTCCTCCTCGCACCCTGACTCGCATCCAGGTAAAAATCAGAGACAATGTTTTTACTCATGGTGCTCTTATTGACTCAGGGGCAGACGAAAGTCTAATGGATTGGGGTTTAGTAAATGAAATGAACATAAAAACTAAACCTCTACCCCAGCCTCTTGAGGCAAGTGCTCTTGATGGACGGCTGTTGTTCAAAGTGACTCACCAAACAGAGCCTTTAGAAATAAGATGTAATGATAACCATCACGAGACAATGTAATTTCACTTATTCAACTCAGCCCAACATCCTCTCATATTGGGTTTTCCCTGGTTGAAACTTCATAACCCTCACATAGATTGGCACTCTGGGAGGGTGGAGGGGTGGGGACAGACTTGCGTTGATCACTGTTTAAAACCGGTTGCAGAGATTGACAGGAGATGTAACACTGGGAGTGTTAGACAGGATACTATCTCTAAAATATATCTTCCTGATGTACTTTCAGTCCCTTCCTGCTATCACGATCTGAGTGAAGTTTTTAGTAAGTCCAAGGCTCTGGCTCTTCCTCCTCACCGCTCCTATGACTGTGCTATTGACTTGATTGCTGGGTCTCCCATTCCTAAGGGTCGACTTTATGCAATTTCAGGACCTGAGAAAGAGGCCATGAAGGATTACATTGATGCCTCTCTCAAAACAGGGCTTATTCGTCCTTCCTCATCCCCAGCAGGTGCAGGTTTTTTTTTGTTGGCAAAAAGGATGGGTCTCTTAGGCCTTGTATTGACTACTCACCTCTCAATGACATTACGGTTAAAAACCGGTACCCCCTTCCTCTCATCTCCTCCGCTTTCGAGCAGCTTCAGGATGCCAAGGTTTTCACCAAGTTAGACCTGCGTAACGCTTACCATTTGGTCAGGATCAGGGAGGGCGATGAATGGAAGACGGGGTTTAACACTCCTTCAGGCCACTATGAATACCTCGTCATGCCGTTTGGACTGTCAAATGCTCCTGCAGTTTTCCAGGCTATGATCAACGATGTGTTGAGGGAGTTTCTGAACCGGTTCGTTTTTGTCTATCTGGATGACATTCTGATCTACTCCCCTGACCTTGACACCCACAAACAACATGTCCGCCAGGTTCTACAGAAACTGCTCCTAAATATGTTGTTTGTTAAAGCCGAAAAGTGCGAATTTCATGTCAAGACAGTCACTTTTTTGGGCTTCATCATTTCCCCAGGTCAGGTTAGGATGGACCCAGCGAAGGTTAGCGCAGTAGCCTGTTGGCCTACCCCTGACTCTCGTAAGAAAGTGCAACAGTTTTTAGGCTTTGCTAATTTTTACAGGCGTTTTGTGCGGAGCTTCAGTTCTATTGCAGCCCCTCTTCATGTCCTCACGTCCCCCCAGGTGCCTTTTGTGTGGTCTCCTCAGGCTGAGGAGGCTTTTTCTCGACTCAAGAAGATGTTCACCTCTGCTCCCATACTTACTCTGCCGGATCCCACTCGCCAGTTTGTGGTGGAAGTGGATGCCTCCAACGAGGGGGTGGGAGCGGTACTCTCCCAGCGCCAACAGAAGGACAATAAGCTTCACCCCTGCGCTTTCCTGTCCAGGAAGCTCTCCCCGGCAGAGAGGAATTACGATGTGGGAAACCGTGAGTTGCTGGCTGTGAAGCTAGCGTTGGAAGAGTGGAGGCATTGGTTGGAGGGAGCCGAGCATCCTTTTGTGGTCTGGACTGATCACAAAAATCTGGAATATATTAAGAAAGCCAAAAGACTGAACTCCCGCCAGGCCAGGTGGACTTTGTTTTTTAACCGGTTTGACTTTGTTCTCTCTTACAGGCCGGGGTCTCAGAATGTCAAGCCTGACGCTCTGTCCCATCTGTTTGACCCTGTGCCTTCAGTCAAGGAGCCGGAACCCATCATTCCGTTAAACCGTGTGGTAGGAGCACTGACTTGGCAAGTAGAGAAGGAGGTGATACGAGCCAACGGGGGAGCTCCTGCACCCAGGGGTTGCCCGCCTAACCGGCTATTCGTTCAGGAAGCCGAGCGACCACAGGTGATCCACTGGGCTCACACGTCGCTACTCACCTGTCACCCCGGAGTCAAGAGAACCATGTTCATTGTTAAACAACGTTTCTGGTGGACATCCATGGAGAAGGAGGTGAAGGAGTATGTGGAGGCGTGCCCTGTCTGCGCTCGCAATAAGACCTCTTCCAGGGCGCGGATGGGTTTGTTACAACCACTTCCTATTCCCAACAGACCCTGGTCAGAGATTTCTATGGACTTCGTCACAGGCCTGCCCCTCTCTAGAGGTAACACCACAGTTCTCAAGGTAGTGGACCGTTTTTCCAAGATGACACATTTCATTGCTCTGCCCAAATTGCCCTCAGCTAAGGAAATGGCTGAGGTCATGATGCATAATGTTTTTCGTCTGCATGGTTTCCCTAAGGATATTGTCTCCGATCGGGGGCCCCAGTTTGTGTCTCGTTTCTGGAAGGAGTTCTGCAGACTCATCAGTGCCACAGTCAGTCTCTCGTCTGGATACCACCCGGAGTCAAACGGCCAGACGGAGCGCCTGAATCAGGAACTGGAGACTTGCTTGCGCTGCCTGGTGTCCCAGAATCCATCCTCCTGGAGCGACCACCTCACCTGGGTGGAGTATGCGCACAACATCCTTCCCACGTCTGCCACGGGATTGTCCCCGTTTCATTGTGTTTATGGGTACCAGCCGCCACTGTTCTCAGCCACGGAGAAGGAGGTCACGGTTCCGTCTGCCCACGCTATGGTCAGGCGTTGTCATCGTCTGTGGGCTGCGGCAAGAAAAATCCTCTGCAGAAATTCAAAGCTGGTAAAACGAGCAGCAGACCGAAGACGCCGACCAGCTCCTGTATACCAGCCAGGCCAAAAAGTCTGGCTTTCTACGCGGGACCTTCCCCTCCACTTACTCTCCCGCAAGTTGGCTCCCCGGTTTGTGGGTCCTTTTCCCATCACCAAGGTCATCAACCCGGTTTCAGTGAGACTACGGCTTCCCAGGTCCATGAAGGTACATCCCACCTTCCATGTGGGGAAATTGAAACCCCTGAAGGAGAGCGCCATGGTTCCCACCGCCAAACCCCCCCCGCCTCCCAGGATGATCGATGGAGGTCCAGTCTATACGGTCAAGACACTCTTGGCTGCAAGGAAATGGGGTAGAGGGCGACAGCTCCTTGTTGACTGGAAGGGTTACGGCCCTGAGGAGCGGTCATGGATTCCTTCCCGTTTCATCATTGATAAGAGCCTCATTGAGGATTTTGACCGCCTCAACTCGGAGGAGCCTGGGCCGTCAGGAGCCGTCCCTAGAAGGGGGGGTACTGTCATGTCTAAGAAACTTATTGTGAAAGTTTATTCTTTATGTTAGTTTTGTCATGTCTTTCTGTCCTGTGCTTTATGTTATGTTGAATAGTAATTTTCCCTCTCATTTCAGACCTCCACGCTCCCCGCCCCTATCTGTCTCCTGCGTCTGTGATTGTTTTCCCCGCCCTGATTGTTTCCACCTGTTCCCATTTACCCTGTGTATATATTCTGCTAGTTCCCTCCTGTCCATTGTCGGTTCGTTTCCTCATTCAGGACTTTGAGCAAGCGTACTCCACAGAAGTGTTACGTATCTCTAAGCTTCAGAGTATTGTCATTGTTTTTCCTCGATAGAGAGTTATTGTTTTCCCTGTTTTTGTTACTGTGTAAATTCCAGTAAAGTCTTTATTTTGAACCTCTCCTGAGTCTGAGTTTGAGTCGTGCATTTGAGTTCATGCCTCAGAGTTCACTCCTTGACAGTAGTACCAGTAACTCTTTTTTTTTAACCGTCAAAAGTCTTTCATTACCAAGAAAATCCATATATAGTTAAAACCATTTTTCAAAAACTATTACAAATTATTGTGCCGCTTTCATTTTGATTAACAATTAGAAATGTCAACATAATGGATGTAGATTCAAAATATTGGGTACAGCCCATAGACTGTATCTCTGGTACAGCCGTATTATACACGGTTAATTAAGATCAATATCCTTACGCCTTCTGGACAATATTCATTAATATGCAGGACATTATTCCAGAGATAAATACCGGACATAATTGAGGATTTATCAATTAATTAGCACTAAAAATGTACCTTATTGTTTCCTGTTTTGTGGGAACTTGTTTAAGAAGTCATTGATGACAAAAAATCTGTGATTTAACGTCACCGGATTATTTAAAAACGGGTTAATTAACAGTATAACAGTCCCAGTGTGTGTGTGTGTGTGTGTGTGCGTGTGTGTGTGTGTGTGTGTGTGTGTGTGTGTGTGTGTGTGTGTGTGTGTGTGTGTGTGTGTGTGTGCGTGTGTGTGTGCGTGTGTGTGGCGGCAGCCTTGTGAAGGTGTTACTACGTCTCCGGTTCGATGGCTGTTGCCGCGGAAACGATTTTCGTGTGCTGGTTAAAGATGGCGTCGAAGGCCTCGTCTCTGTGGATCATCGCGCCGAACACCATCGGCTGCAACAAGACAGGAAGTGAGTTCAATTCAGAGGTACTAATACTTTACTTAACATGTAATCTATCAATTACATGTATGTATACAATATAACTGGAGGGAACACAGGGGTTTCACCCTAACCCAAGGGAAAAACCCCAGAAAGGCGTGCAACAAGACATCACTATGTAACACTCGCGCTTCTATTGGCTAGCGCTCCGACACATTGTACGACGTGAGAGGACTCTTTAAAGTAGAGACACTACATACTGATATACACCTGAATATCAGCAGGAGAGGACTCTTTAAAGTAGAGACAATACATACTGATATACACCTGAACATCAGCAGGAGAGGACTCTTTAAAGTAGAGACACTACATACTGATATACACCTAAACATCAGCAGGAGAGGACTCTTTAAAGTAGAGACACTCCATACTGATATACACCTGAACATCAGCAGGAGAGGACTCTTTAAAGTAGAGACACTACATACTGATATACACCTGAACATCAGCAGGAGAGGACTCTTTAAAGTAGAGACACTACATACTGATATACACCTGAACATCAGCAGGAGAGGACTCTTTAAAGTAGAGACACTACATACTGATATACACCTGAACATCAGCAGGAGAGGACTCTTTAAAGTAGAGACACTACATACTGATATACACCTGAACATCAGCAGGAGAGGACTCTTTAAAGTAGAGACACTACATACTGATATACACCTGAACATCAGCAGGAGAGGACTCTTTAAAGTAGAGACACTACATACTGATATACACCTGAACATCAGCAGCAGAGGACTCTTTAAAGTAGAGACACTACATACTGATATACACCTGAACATCAGCAGCAGAGGACTCTTTAAAGTAGAGACACTACATACTGATATACACCTGAACATCAGCAGGAGAGGACTCTTTAAAGTAGAGACACTACATACTGATATACACCTGAACATTAGTATAATAGGGCCCCTTTAACTTGTAACAGTATTTTTACACCGTAGAAATCCATTCCAGGCTCTCTTGTTATTTGCACGTTTTGTTTCATATCTTAATTTAACTCATTAACTTCCACATTATATCAGATCATAGCGCCCTGTCTTCTCGTACCTTTGTTGTGGACGGCGTTGCGATGGAGATGCCGCTCCCTGACCCCGGCAGCACGGACAACACTTTGTACTGAGAAGAGAAAAAAAACAACACAAACATTTAAAAAAAAACTAATTTGAAAACAAAACAACAAGAAAAACAAACTCTGATTGACCTTTATATATCAGTATAGAATACTTGATTTTAAAATGTTAGTAAATAGTGAAAAATGTTCATCCCGGTTCCTCAAAGTCCAACATGATTTTCATTTATCTTTTTTTATTTAATATTGTTCTAACTTATTTATTTTTATATTTGTATGCCGAAGGCGAGAGGGGTCTGCCTGCAGGCTCCTCTCTCAGGACACCTCCACTCTCAGGACAGGAAGTGACGATTCTGACGAACACGTTTTTTTCCCCGTCCCCGAAGGACTCGTCTGATGGAAGTTTTCAAATCACAATGGAGACTCATCACGGAGGTGATGAGTCCGCTCACCATGCACTTTGGGTCGGCCTTGGTCAAGCCCTTTTGACCCCCCCAGCCTGGTTCTCGTAAAAGTTGCCTTAGCCATTTTTGGCTATTTCACCCGGTTGCTTCTACCGGGGACACTGCCCGGTCTCGGGTGTCCCCCCACAGCCTGTGTCCAGCCGTTTCCCCCCCCCACTCCCACTCATCCATATATTAACGGATTTTGACAATTTTTGTTGCATTTTTCTCCTCTCCTCTCACTGATCGAATGGCAAACGCGACCCACCATCGGATCTGGGCTGGAACCTCCGCCGCACTGCACCCGGCAAACACGGTTGTTTCTCGAACCCTCCACTGTTGTCTAGCGGGTGTAACTAAAATACAAGATGTCGTTATTTATATAATAAGTGTCAGTGCGATTTTATTTTGTATTAGTGTGCATTTCCTGTTCGGAAAGTGGCGCTGTACTGAGAGTAAACAATACAAGGTGTCCCTATTTATATAGGGACACCTTGTATACCATTTTATTTTGTATTTGCGTGCATTTCCTGTTTGGAAAGTGGCGCTGTACTGATAGTGGAGATTTTATTTTGTAATTCTTAGCGTGCACTTCCTGTCCTGAGGGTGGAGGTGTCCTCAGAGTGGAGGTGTCCTGAGACTGGCGCCTGCAGGCAGGCTCCCATGCCGAAGGCAGTGCTGCCCCTGGCCAAATTGTGGCCCTACGCAACATTTTGTCAGAACAAACCTTCTGGATGTCGGTGATGTCGGCCAGTTTGATGACTTTGTTCCTCTTGGAGGATCCGGATCTGGAGCTGGAGCTCTCAAAACACAGATGACTGAAAACACAGAGGAACAAACACGGATCCAGTTTTACACGTTTCACAGTATTTATTCTGAACTTGTGTTTTTTTAAATGCAACACAGTAAAGTTTGGAGAAATTTGAAAACATTTTCTGATCTTCTATAAATACTACGGCCTCAGCTTGATCTCAAAACTTTAAGTATTTCAGTCTCCCTCCTCATCTGTGTTCTGTCTGAAAACATTGTGCGGGAACAATAATCAATGTGAACAGGAAGTGAGGGACTTACTTCTCGGTGACGTAGAGGTATCCGTTGCGGATGTAGTCAGTGGGCGACTTCCTGTCTCTGTTGATGAGGCAGCAGCGCCAGCCGCTCTCACACACTGACACACAAAGAGTCAAACATCACTACATGCAGGAGGGTCAGGGAGCTTCTTGTGGGAATGAGGGCGTTTCCAGTGCTTTTAGACTCAATGTATTTACTTTTAAGGGTCATACATGTATAAAGACATTTGTATTTTTCATTAGAGGTTCATTGATGTCACTGTGAAGCAAAGAAACAAATGCAAACGGACGGGACAAAAATACCAATAACCAAATTGAAGAAATTCAAATAAACAAAAGCAACAACCACAAACACATATCTTGAGTTCCTGCCCACCTGTCAGGGGGCGCTCGCTCTCCTGCAGGTTGAACACTTCGTGGAAAGCTCCTCTCTTGGTGCTGCTGTATCGCCCTCCGTCTTCATCCCGGCTCGCACCGAGAGGAGCCGCCGGGCCGACGCTGCCCCGCCCGCTGGTTAACGTGACCTGGAGGGGGGGGGGGGGGGATACTAGCTTTAAAAATCAGCAGCAAGAGAGGATCTGTGGGAACGTCCTGAACATCACTGTGAAACGAGTCTATTGTTGTTCCAACCAATGGATGCATTATCAGAGCGGCGTGTTCATCACACTAATATGGATTTGACAGCTATGTTCGCTTCACAGAGTATCTCTTCCAGAGTAGATTGATGAAAATAGTGCTTTTTGAACATGAAAGACTATTCCCAGTTATGCAGAGCTTAGTATAATTGTAATCCAACCTTTAACCCCGACAGCTCAGATGTGTTCACAGCTCTTCACAAGATCCGAACCATAATGATCACCTTCCTTTGTTTCTGTTGTTAAAAATGTGGCTCAAATCTTGACAATGTCCTGAAGACTTAAGGATGTTTAGAGTCTTACAAAAAATGTAACGTTGGTGGTGAAGAGAAGAAGAACCAACTTCAATATTTGTTTACCTGACCCAAAATTGTACCTAAAAACTAAAAAAGATGTTGATACAAACCGTTTAACATTAGTTTGGAAACATGAACATTTGGTAGGATCTAAGAGTGACCTGAGGATGGCGCCAGAGGAAAGGGGACATTAACATATCAAGAAGAACAATTCTGGTGATCATCAATGTGTAGAAGTTTTACCTTTATTACAAACCTGAAAGAAATTGAGTAAAAGAGGCAACATTTGACGTATAGGTTTATGATATCTCAAACTAACACCGTCACAAACTCTACCAGCAGCTGACAGGAGGGGCATTAGTGTCACTACTTATCTAACTACAATAAACACTGCTGATCTCACACGCACACACACACACACACACACACACACACACACACACACACACACACACACACACACACACACACACACACACACACACACACACACACACACACACACACACACACACACACACACTATTGCATACTTATACATGTACTTAAGTAGTACTAAAATGGTTTACTTAAGTGAAAGTACTAATACCACATTATATAAATACTCTGTTACATGTCCTGCATATTAAAGTTTACTCACTAAAAGTACAACAGTATTAAATAAGAAGAACTAACCATTTAGCATTTAATAACTGCTGAATTCCTGCTAAATAACGCATATTTGGATCTATATAGGATTTAACATGACGTTTTTCTTCACCTGAATTCAGTGCATTTTAGTGTTTGTGTGTGTGTGTGTGTGTGTGTGTGTGTGTGTGTGTGTGTGTGTGTGTGTGTGTGTGTGTGTGTGTGTGTGTGTGTGTGTGTGTGTGTGTGTGTGTGTGTGTGTGTGTGTGTGTCGTACCTATGAAGAATCCCAGCAGTGTGAATGGCAGCAGGCAGGAGGAGATGAAGGCCAGCCACAGACCAACGTACAGCTTCTGAGTCAACTCAGGCTGAACCCAAATGAACAAACTACACACACACACACACACACACACACACACACACACACACACACACACACACACACACACACACACACACACACACACACACACACACACACACACACACACACACACACACACACACACACACACACACACACACACACACACACACACACACACACACACACACACACACACACACACACACACACAGTATTACATTTCTGTCCACGCACCATCATTCCTCTCTGAGGTGGAGCAAAGTGTGTGACTCACTTCTTGATTTTCTCCAGTCTGTTCGCCATCCTGCCAAACAGGTTCTGTGGCACAAAAGGAACATCTTTTAATAATAATAAGAAGAAGAAGTTTATTTAGTATAGCACCTTTCACAGCAATACAATTCACAAAGTGCTTCACAACAAAAAACACAAGTTTAAAACTAAGACCACAGAAACATGAATACAATAACAACATGAGGCAGAAATGTAAGGTCAACATAAAAACAAAACACAGACCACGTAGAGTCCCGAAAGAAACAAACATAAGAACAGAACACATCACATCTCAAGTAGAAAAAAAGCCAATGTAAAAATATTGGTCTTCAGTTGTTTGCTTGTAGTGAATCTGTCTGAGCTGTCACACGCTGACGTAGCGCCGCTGAATTCTCCGTCTCGTCTCACCTGAGCTTTCTGAGCGACGTCCAGAACCAGCGTGAACTTCTCAGACACCGTCAGGTCTTCTTTGGGAGGCTCCTGGAAAACAGAGGAGACAATAAGGAGATAGTTCATTTGAATACTTTTCAAGAACAGAAATCTGAAAAATAAGTAACAAAGGTCATTTCAATTTCAAGGACATACTGAAATGTATGTAAAATACCCTAAACTACCTCAAAATTGGAATAGGTTACATGGATCTTTTGATATTAAAAAGGCACAACCGTTTTTAATACCAAATTTGAATACAAATGAATTATTTGTTAATTAAAAACCTACTTTTCATGACCATTAAAAGTAATTCCACTATTTGACATGACATAACATTAAATGACGTCCCACAGCCCCCAGGTGGAGCTGTTAGTTTGTCAGACTAACTTCCTGTTCACCTGTCCAGGTAGCCTGTCAGGACACTTTCAGATTGGTTATGGATATTTCTTTTCATGTTGAAGATAAATCACAGAGAGATTTCTCACCACGGGCTCGGAGACTTCAGGTACGATGCTCCACTGGATCCTCCAGCCTCTGAGAGCAGTGCATCATGGGAACACACAGGTAGATATGAGATCATTTCACACTGTCTAAATATATCTGTGTGTCAAAGATTTTGAATTCAAGCTGCTCAGAATCATTGGTTCATTTTTAAAACACGGTGAGGCTTCGAGTGGATGAAAAGTTACCTATCTGTCAAGAATGGAATAAAAAACATCTATTAAAACATTTTAATTAGTGACGTTTCTTCTACCTGACTGAAGTACTTTACTCCATTTTACACTCTTAAACACATAGTTAACCCCTTTCTATTTCCCATTGAGTAGTTTTAAAGAACATACGAGTCATAAAGTTACGTATACCGGGGTCTAAGTACCCTAAACGAGCCAGAATCAACAGCTCATTAATGGAGCGTCTGAGAAATAGCTGGAACTAACAATTATATAATTCAATTGATTGTTATCATAAATCCCAGATAACTGCCAATATCCTACCAGTTCCTCACAGGTGATGTGTTCAAATGTCCTGTTTTTTCAGTACAAATTCCAACGTTTTTTCAGTTTAATATGATATCAAACATAAGAACAGTGAATCTCTATATTTTATAAAGCTGAAAACAGCATTTTCTGCCATTTCTGCATGAAAAATAACATTTACGGTAAATACTTTTTCAAAATTGTTTCAGAATATTTTGTCTGATAAATTAGTTGACTGGAGTTAAGATGCATACATGTAATGAACCCCCCCCTGACCTATTGTTCATCTGATTCACCTGCATGTTACTTAAATGGCCTATTCAAGAGGATGCATGTCAACCTGATTAACAGTCTCTGATTGGGGTCATGTGATTGGCTGTAGGAAAGAGAGGGGCGGGGCTTGCACTGTTTTAAACCTATACAACACATTACAGGACCTCTTTAATAAATTAAAAGATAGGAGCGTTTTAGAAAATATGGATCTGAAATTTACCAAATAAATTAGGATGTTGGCAATAAATCGCGTTTTTATAAATCCCAACATTTTTCAGTTTCCTCAAAAAACGTCATGATAAAAAAAATCATTAGTTTATTTTCTATTTTTTTACTTTTCTTCTACACTATAATAGTTGTTTGTACACTTTATAGTTTTCTTTTTCATTTTCAATCTATTTCACTATATTCTTTCTCCCATGTCATGCTTTTCCGGTTATTACCCGTCCCATTACAAACTCACAGCCAGGCTGAGAAACCAATGTGATTTTGGAACATTGAACAATGTAAATCTATTCTAGTAGACCTCAACAATGGAAATATGATCAGTAGAAATGACCATGACATGGGACCTTTGAAAAGCGCTCCACAAATCATTTTGTATTATTATTATCATCAGTAACCAGTGGACTGAACTCACAATGAAGGCGATGGCCGAGGTGTAGACGGAGTACCAGCTGGATAGCGCCGTCAGGTTCCTCTTGAAGTTGGACAATGGTTTCAACCCTCGCTCTGAAAAAAACAGAAACTGACCAATCACAGACGCAGAGAAACACAGATGTATCTTGATAGCTCTTGTATTCTGTATTGTTTGTGATGAACGGTGTAGGAAAGTATTAATACTCACTGAGTCTTCTCATGTTTTCAGTCAACCTGTGTGTCGGAAACCACATGTTTAATTAGGATGTATTTATTTAAAGGGGACCTATCATGCAAAATGCACTTTTGTACGTCTTTTATACATGAATATGTGTCCCCGGTGTTCCAGGGAACTCACCAAGTGTCCGAAAACACAACCCTCTCTATTTTCCTCCATACCCAAATCTCTAAAAACGGGGCTGCAACGGATCTGATAAAAACTGATACAGATTTGAACATTTCTCTGACGTCAGGACGGAGGAGCTCCGCCTATATGGCCAACTCTCCACCTATCAGGGGAATGAGAGGTTGCCGTGGCATGGTAACAGCATGGTAACAGCATGGTAACAGCATGGTAACATGACGCTCGTAACTCGGCACCCTCCTATGCAGGGGGGCGTGGTCAGCTGCAGCGCATGCAAAGACAGGGTGGAGGACAGCAAAATAGAGCAAAATGAGGCATGGCTAAAATGCATGATCTGTTTGGTATTTTGAAAAAGAAAACGTATAAATATACCATATATAGGTATGGCCCTACAATATATTATTGAAATATAGCATGATAGGTCCACTTTAAAGATATTCAGCTTTAACACATATTGTTTTTATCACAAATTGTGATTTTCGTTCGTCGCAGCGGCATGTTAACAGGCATCAGACATGAGTTAAAAATATAATAAAATAAAAAATAAAAATGTTTATAAACTAAAATAAAACATTATAAAAAATATAATAAATAATAAATATTAAATGAAACATACAGAATAAGTTAAAATACTCTTAAGAGGACCTACATCTATATAGTATTAAAGGTCACCTATCATGCTATTTTTAGGCAATAGCATAGGTCTCAGATATATACAAATATATATAAAACATGTCTATGAAGTGTTTTGCTCAAAATACCAAACAGATCACCCATTCTAGCCATGCCTCATATCCCTCTATTTCACTTCCTGTTTCAAAAGGGCTGATTTTGGGTATAAAGCTTTAAAAAAAATAAAAAAGGAGGGGGCTGAGCTCATGCGGGACCCAGCAGCTACTGTCTAAACTAAATACTGCCGTGATGAAACGCCATATCATAGATTATCAAGGATTATTTCTGAAACAGTATGGAGCTCAAAGGCTTTCTCTCTTGCCGGTTATACCACAAGGTGAGTTCCTTTTTATTTCCTGCTTCTTCACACACATGCTCTCCAGTACAGGTTAGCTCTGAGTGTTAGCAATGCTAATGTAAACACCGACCATATTACGTCCAAAACAGTCGGGCATTGTTTCTGATAGCAACTTTCTGATAGTGCCGTGGGTCCACATTTCAGATATTACGTCATATCGGACGCAAATCTGGATCAGCTCCGAGGAAAAGAGAGAGGGTTTTATTTTCTGACGCTGCGTGAGTTCCCCGACACACCGGGGACACATGTTTATGTATAAAAGACTTTAAAATATTTCCACAAAAATTGCAAGGAAGATTCAAGAAACCTCATCAAATCAAACCTAAAAACAAACTGCCATTAAGTTTTATTTATTTATTTGTTTATTCCACACATGGCAGTTATATTAAAACAAAACATGTACACTTATACTGGTTGTTGTTTTTGTTATAGCGCATGGTAGAGAGGAGCAGGGAGAAGAACATCTTATTTGACCTTCCCCTTATTACAAAAAAATAACAAAAATAAATAAAAACGAAATAACCATTAAAAAGTAAAAAATAAAAGCAATATTCTTTCAGTCACAGTTGCTTACAAATACTGAAACATAAAACCAGAATACGATCAAAAGTCAACTTCATACTGTCTAATTACACTTTCTTTATACATTTTCTGAAACATAAAACATTTCTTACAGCCCTTGTCTTCAACAATTAAATGAATCGCGTCTATTTGTTGTTTTAGTTTTTAGGGTTTCTGTGTTTCCCCTCCTCACCTCTTGGCGCTCAGCGGCTCATCCGTCTCCACCGTCTGCTCCTCCTGCTGGAAGCGGAAGTCCTCGATGTAAACGCCAAATCTATCGTAGAGACACTTCCGGAAGCTGCTGGACCAAGTGTCCTTCTGTTTGTCTAAAGATGAGAAGAAGAAAAGATGGAGGTTACATGGTTGTTGACATTTCACCACATGTATACACTGAGGTTTATACCAGACTTTGTCTTGTAGGAAAATATCAGTCACAGATATCTGAAAAATCTGGACGAATAAAACCTAAACTATGATTTTATAAAACAACAGAATTACTTATCTACAGAAGAACAAGAACATTTTATTTATACATTTACATGCGTGTTACTCACATTCGTGTCCTGTGGTTTTTTGTATGTGTTTTATGTGTAGGTCTTAGTATAGAGTGGTGAAGGAGTGAGTCCTAAAACCTGGAAATGAGTTTGCATATCACAACTTCTTGTCCCCTTGTCAACTTTGTTTAACCATTGTTTGTTTGTGAGCCTGAAATAAGGTCTGAACAGAAAAGATTCAAAAGTTTTGTCCTACGAAATAAAATGCGTCAGTAAAAACCCCACTGGTGAATTAAAAAATGTCAGTTGTCAACAAGTGTCTAAATGAGATGACTAAACGTCATCAAGCCCAACATTAGCCTCCTTTAGCTTAGTGGTGGTGACGTGAAGTCATGTGACCGTGCTGTAGTTCCTTTATAGCCCAACATTAGCTTTTTAATTCTGGAGATTGCATTTACACTTCAATTGTTATAAAGTGGTTTTAATATGTGGAGATTATCCTGCTGAACCAAACAAGTAAATATCATAAAAGTATGATTAAGAGATTATTTTGTGCAATTTTCTGAAATGTATTGGCTTTTTGTTTAGGGAGCCCTTGCGATGCTTACTTCCGTGTTGGCCTACAAAGATTCATCATCCCTGCACCACTCAAACATCCTACGACTGATGAAACAACATTTAAAAGATATTTAACCATAACGAGTAATGTAAGAAAGATAAACTCACCTGTACCGCTGACTGCAGATGTTGAAGGGGACGGGGCTTTAGGCGTCTGTGAAGGTGAGTCTTCAAGTCTGTAAAGCAACAGAAACGATCATTCAGGTGATCAGATTCAGCCATGAGACTACAGGAACAAACTGCTCTGTCTGATGGTTAGCATTAGCTCATTAAATAACGTTTATTTTTATTTAAAGGTCCCCTATTATACTGTTTTTCATCAATATGTTATAGGTCTCAGATATATACAGAACATGTCTCTGATTGGCTGAAACACCAAACAGATCATTGCAGCATCCCATAATCACCTCTGTTTCAGCCCTGTTTCAAAAGTGCTGATTCTCTGTCTGTTACTTTACATGAAAATAAGGAGCCCCTCCCCATGCCCCTCTGAGAGAGATTTGGTTAAAAAGAACACAATGGAGCTCTAGGAGGAGATTCAGGTGATAAGGTGGTGGGGGGGGGGTTACCTTGGTTGCTGATTGGCTAATGGTTACACAAGACAAAACATCGTTATGACATCATAAAGTGGCCAAAATCTGATCAGCTCATTTTCAGACAAAAAGAGAGAGAATCTTTTTTCCTGAATCTTTCAGAGTCTCTTTCCACAGAGGGGACACATGTTGATGTAGAAGAGACATGAAGAAGAGGGGACACATGATGATGTAGAAGAGACATGAAGAAGAGGGGACACATGTTGATGTAGAAGAGACATGAGGAAGAGGGGACACATGTTGATGTAGAAGAGACATGAAGAAGAGGGGACACATGTTGATGTAGAAGAGACATGAAGAAGAGGGGACACATGTTGATGTAGAAGAGACATGAAGAAGAGGGGACACATGTTGATGTAGAAGAGACATGAAGAAGAGGGGACACATGTTGATGTAGAAGAGACATGAAGAAGAGGGGACACATGGTGATGTAGAAGAGACATGAAGAAGAGGGGACACATGTTGATGTAGAAGAGACATGAAGAAGAGGGGACACATGATGATGTAGAAGAGACATGAAGAAGAGGGGACACATGTTGATGTAGAAGAGACATGAAGAAGAGGGGACACATGTTGATGTAGAAGAGACATGAAGAAGAGGGGACACGTGTTGATGTAGAAGAGACATGAAGAAGAGGGGACACATGTTGAAGTAGAAGAGACATGAAGAAGAGGGGACACATGTTGATGTAGAAGAGACATGAAGAAGAGGGGACACATGTTGATGTAGAAGAGACATGAAGAAGAGGGGACACATGATGATGTAAAGAGACATGAAGAAGAGGGGACACATGTTGATGTAGAAGAGACATGAGGAAGAGGGGACACATGTTGATGTAGAAGAGACATGAAGAAGAGGGGACACATGTTGATGTAGAAGAGACATGAAGAAGAGGGGACACATGTTGATGTAGAAGAGACATGAAGAAGAGGGGACACATGTTGATGTAGAAGAGACATGAAGAAGAGGGGACACATGTTGATGTAGAAGAGACATGAAGAAGAGGGGACACATGGTGATGTAGAAGAGACATGAAGAAGAGGGGACACATGTTGATGTAGAAGAGACATGAAGAAGAGGGGACACATGTTGATGTAGAAGAGACATGAAGAAGAGGGGACACATGTTGATGTAGAAGAGACATGAAGAAGAGGGGACACATGTTGAAGTAGAAGAGACATGAAGAAGAGGGGACACGTGTTGATGTAGAAGAGACATGAAGAAGAGGGGACACATGTTGATGTAGAAGAGACATGAAGAAGAGGGGACACATGTTGATGTAGAAGAGACATGGAGAAGAGGGGACACATGTTGATGTAGAAGAGACATGAAGAAGAGGGGACACATGTTGATGAAGAAGAGACATGAAGAAGAGGATTTTGCATAATAGGTGACCTTTAATAACCACCTGGGTTTCAGGACGTCGTTGATCTTCTGCTCCAGCTCGCTGCTGCGGCTGCGCTCTCTCTCCAGCTCCTGGCGCAGAGAATCCACGTTGGACTCCTCTCTGAGTTTCTTCAGCTCCTCCTCTGAAAACAGACGAGGATGAGACAAGACACGTTCATGTTACCCAAAACTAAATCCAATACGAAACAGAAAACAGCAGAGGTGGAAGAAGTACTCAGATCGTGTACTTGAGTAAAAGTAGAAGTACCAGAGTGTAGGAATACTCTGTTACAGTAACAGTACTGCATTCAAAATGTTAACCAAGTAAAAGTAGAAAAGTATTAGTAACAAAATATAGTGAAAGTAGCGACAGTAAAAGTAGTCATTGTGCAGATTGGTCCATTTCAGAATAATATATATGATATGTTTTATAATGATTGATCATGAAAGTGTTCTCAAAGCTTGTGAATTTACTCCAGGTGGAACTAAAGTCTGATTTAACACTTGATTATATTTTACATCATTCATCCAGATCTGTAAAGGAACTAAAGGTATTAAATACATGTAGTGGAGTAAAAGTACACCATTTACCTCTGAATTGTAGCGGAGTAGAAGAACAAAGTAGCATAACACGTAAATACTCAAGTAAAGTACAAGTGTCTCAAAATTGTACTTAAAGCTCCCATGTCATGCTTTTCCGGTTATTACCCGTCCCCTTGTGTGTTATGAAGGTTTTTATGCATGTAAACGGTGTGCAGAGTCAAAACCCTCAAAGTACACCCTGTAGCGAGTAAAACTCTAACACAGAAAATACCTCCCCAAAACGCCTCGTTGGAGATACGTCACTGCCCATTTGAGTCTTCCATTTAGTTCCGGGTACCGCCTGATGTCATGCGGTACCCGGAACGAAATGGACCAATCCCGAAGAGCTATGGCCACACCAGCAGCGGCGTGTTCCTCCTCCAGAGGTTCGAAGAACCGGCATTTCACAGACGAAAGCTTCCAAAACATTGCCCAGTTTGAGGCCGGATATGCACAGCTTGTTTGGACCGTTTGGAGCAGGGGAAGATCTGGGTATACAACCTGTAAGTTTGCATTGTTATTTGTGTATTTATCAAACAAGACTGTTTAAATGTGTAAACTGTGTTGGACTGCTAAGCCATTGACACAGTGCTAACTGTGCTAACTAAGTTGCTAGAGTTTCCATATATCAACTCTAATATCAGCAGATGGCCTTGCATACATGTATCTCATAGCAGGAGAATGTCTGCATTCACACACAAAATACCTATTGACAGTATACTGCGGGTGATTTGCCGGTCAGTCGCGAAACGTAATTACATTATAGCTGGCGTAGCGATCTAACACACGGAGCTTGAGCTAGTTTTGGTCAGAAAAACATTTTTGTGATGCTACGTTGCTAGCGTTTAAATATATCAACTACAATGTCAGCAGATGGCCTTACATGTTTGTCATGGCAGGAGAATGTCTGCAGTCACACACGGAATACTCATACAGTATACTCCGGTTTACCGTACATTGTGACCGTACATATACTGCATGTAGCTAACGAGGCTAGCTGTATGCTAGCGCAAAACAATGTATTCATGCAAGTTACATTGTATGGTAGCAGAATACCCGTATACGATTGCAATTATAAACACGTTATTGCTAGCCTAATATGAACCACTAGCTTTTGTTCATAGTAGTTTTATTACACTGCATTATAGTTGCCTTTCCTCCAAGCTAACGTTCATATCGTGTTAGCTACCAAGGTAAACAAAGCTAGGTTAGCATATTAGCAGGCAAGCTGTTCATTACACAACTACTACTAACGAATCTAAAACAACTAAGTTTCTCTAATATTTTGTGATTTGCATTTGATTTCGTCCAGCCAGATCCTGGCGGACAATCCATGACGGGGAAGGGATTCTACTACTACTGAGGGTGCTAAAAGGCACCGCACCGACTGTGCGCAGGCAAGATGCGAGGAGGAGGAATGGATGATATACCGTGTATATATGTATATTTATGTTCATTTTGTACATTTCTAAAAATAAAGTTTAATGGAAATACTTAGTAGGCCTATCCTTTCTTCCCTGAATTCATATATAGCAAACCATGATTTGATTTCTCATCAAACAGTAGTAGTTTATAACGGGTAAAAATAACTTACTCTTTGTTATGAGAGTAGCTCGTAGGCCACAACGGAAAGACAAGGAGACATACACGAGTTTACAAAACCACGGCACATTTATTGTGGTAAATGCAAAGATAGGTGGTTGAGAGGATCGCAGAGTTAGTCTTCCTGCAGCCGCTTTGGAGAGAGACTGGGGCCGTAGTGTCCGGAGGTGTCCGTGATCGCGCTGATTACCCTCTTCAGCTCCACCCCATCGTAAGACAAAGGCCCTGGGGCCGTCACACTCTTCTATAACAACAGTTAAAAATATATATGTATATAAAATATACCGCTGTACCGACGCCATGATAAGACTGATGTTACGCTGAGAGCAGCCGGGAAAAGCACTGACATGGGCGCAGCCTCTCTGGTGGTTGACTAATCAGAACGAGTGGCCGAGCTGACCAATCGGAGCACACTAGGCTCACAGGGAGGGGGGGGCAAGAGCTCCAACGAGTCGTTTAGTGGAGAAAGTGAATACTGCTGAATACACATGCTTGACAGAGATGCTGTATGCGAAACCAATGTGAGTTTGGAAAATTGCACAGTATAAATCTATTTTAGTATACCTCAACAATGTAATTATGATCAGTGGAAATGGCCATGACATGGGCCCTTTAAAGGTGGGGTAGGTAAGTTTGAGAAACCGGCTCGAGATACACTTTTTGTTATATTTCATGGAATGCTCTTAACATCCCGATAGCAATGAATATCTTAAGTGCTTTGACAAAAAATCCATAAAAAAATGTCATCTGTGGAAGCCGTAGTGCTGTAAAAAGCACGACCAATCATTTTAGCCGGCCCGGCTAAAATAACTGGATGGCCTACCTGCCTGTCAGCCTTCCATCTGTGCACAAACTTATCTCGTGCCCTCATTGGTCATGTGCGCGTTCGTGTGTATTGGAGGAGGGGCTCTGTAAGGAAGTGGCAGATTTTCTCCGGTTGTGTATTTTCAAATTCTAGCGCACTCGAGCTGGTTTCTCAAACTTACCTACCCTACCTTTAAGTAGAGTACTTAAGTAGAGTACTTGAGTAAATATACTTGTAGTTGTTACTATTTGTGTGTGTGTGTGTGTGTGTGTGTGTGTGTGTGTGTGTGTGTGTGTGTGTATGTGTGTGTGTGTGTGTGTGTGTGTGTGTGTGTGTCTGTGTGTGTGTGTGTGTGTGTGTGTGTGTGCGTCAGACGAGGTTAAGCAGGCTTATTAGCAGTGTGTGTTACGTAAAGCTGACAAACAGATATTGACAGATTACCCAGCATGCATCTGTGCTGTAGGGCATTTAACCCTGAAGTGATGCTGAAGGCCAGAGTGAGTCGACAGCCAATTAACACACAACTCTCCAAGCCACAGATTTAAAGGGACACTTTACTTTAACTTATTTTATGCTAAATTAAACCAATAAAATAACCTTGACTCAAGTTCCAATAATCAGCTCTAACCTGGCTAAAACATTCTGTGTATTTAAGTGATTTTGTTTCTATTGTCTTTATTGAAATGTTGCAGATAGCGACATTATTTATTAATGGTGGTTAATTTGAGAAGAGAGAAACAAATAAATTCAAGATAAATAACAAAAATAGTGGTGATTATAATACTACTATCACGATAGTTATTCAATAAAAATAAATACAAAAAAAAGAAAATAACATAATATGTTTCAGAGGAAAATGTCTAAATAAAACTGAGTTGAAGAAATATATAAGATAAATATATTAAAAAAAATATAAATAACACGTGGTTTAAAAGAGAAAAACACAGATTATTATATATTTTAGAGATGTTAAGTAAACAAAGGAACCCCACACAGAGGAGTGCAGTTCAGGTCAGATTAATCACCTAAGAAGTGTTTCTCTAACAAGGCGATTTCCAGGTGACCTTTGACCTCGTTGAGATCCGTCCTGGAGTCGTCGTGGAGAGCTGCAGAAAACGTTGCATGACTAGCCTGAGAGAAAAACACACAGTCAAATAAATAATAGAGAAATAAAGAGCTTTTTGAACATTAAAGCATGGAGACATGTCCCAGTTGAGACACTACATACTGATATACACCTGAACATCAGCAGGAGAGGACTCTTTAAAGTAGAGACACTACATACTGATATACTGCCGGCAGCACTGCAGAGACTGAAGGAGGACAGGAACACATCATTATTATTGTTATTATTATTATATTAAAGTTCCTTGGATAGATTTTGATATATTGCAACATAAATATACATTTGATTTAACTACATATCAAAGAATACAACTGAACAGAATCAACATCAGTTCATCTGACACACGTTAAAGCTGTGGTTTGTTTACATCCTAATCCAAAACCCCCAAAACTACAGGTGAATAATTACATTACATTTAGCTGACGCTTTTATCCAAAGCGACTTACAATAAGTAAATAAAAATGAATCTGCTTGTAATATAAACTAAAGACTGACCTGAATGTGAGTCAACAATCACGTGACCCATTTTCAAACAGTCTGTTCAGGGAGGAGGAAATGTTTCACCAGCTGCTCTTAAACAGGGACCATAACACAGCGTTGTGAAATATAGCTATAAATCTCCAGATGTGTAAAGAGATGTCCTTTATGTATTGAGAACATATTCCTACTTATGCTCAATACACTATTTGAAAAGCCTCTTGGATCAGCTGTAAAATGCATCGTCACAAAGTTAAATAACAAGCCTCAATAGTTCTTCCTCCACTTCCTCTTTGCAAACTGCCACTGAGAGGTGGAACCAGACTGTAAGAGAAGAGTTTCCATTTCCCGGAAATGAAAGCTGATGTTTTTCTGAGCGACAGCAAAGCAGCAGCCGAGACAAATCTCTGTTTCTCTGAAGAAACACTCAACTGAATCCAGAAGCTTTTTATCAACAACACAGCAGGACTCTGCAAACACTGGTGAGTACACTACAGACACATCACTTACTAAATATTAGGGCTGTGCGGTTATGGCAAAAATCATAATCACGATTATTTGGTCAATTATTGATATCACGATTATTAAATACGATTATTCATTGACTTTGAAAACATCCATTTATTGAACTTTAAAATAAATACAAATAATAATTTGAACAGTATCTTTTTAACTGTTGATAATCCTGAACGTATAATTCAACTGAAAAACCAATACAAAAATAAATAAAATAAATGATACATTTAAATAAATAATATCAAAATAATAAATACCAATAAACAAGATCAACAAATATTTTGGAGCGCACTTCAACAAGCTACTAAACATATGTAAATATGATAAATACAAATAAATTAGACTAAAATAAATTAGATCAAATATGTCACAACCAAGCAAATCGTTTTTTTCGATTATGTTGTTTTCGTAATTGTGGCAGGCCAAAATCGTAATTGCGATTAAAATACGATTAATTGCACAGCCCTACTAAATATTTAGTCAAAGTTGGATTAAAATCAGAATCTGACTGTATTACATCCATTTTACCATATAAAGAATATTATACCATATACATGTGTCAGTTAAGATAAAAACATCAATATTTACATTAGCAACAGCCAAAACTACAATGTAAACTCTGGTTAAGTAAGGTTAGAGAGCATACAGTCAAAGCTAGCATTAGCTAATGCTAATTTTCATATTTCCTGTATTTGAAAAGATCTTTATAATTGACTCTATTAAACAAAGTAGAATCTAAATATTAGATTTGTTCTGGACTGTCCAAAGCAAGGGATCTGGTGTTATGTTACAAGTTTTGCTTATAAAAAGGCATGACAATTAGATATTTCATTTTATATCATTTGTACACACTGTGGTAAGTAGCCTTGAGCTTTGAACCTGTTTCTGTAGTAACTGCTGTCTGCCTTTTGAAGCAGATAACGTTTACTGTTTTTTAACAACTAGTATTAACTTCAGTGATGCTCAGCAGGAGGTTTCACTCCTCTGTTCAACAACGGCAAAATCCCCCAACAGTATCAGAGCTTACACATTGTGTTTCTTAGAGTTTAAACGGAATGCTGCTATGACTTTCCAGATTTCATTTTAACTTTAATTTTAATTCTTACAGACAAAAAACCTAAATGTTTTTGGTTGTCATTGGTCTATGTATTTAATTTCTAACATAAAACGTTGGGGTAGTTTACATTTTCGGGTTCATAGTAGGACTCTATGAACTGGCAAATAGAGAATATGTAATTACAGTTGTGTTTTTTTCACACGTTTTGTCCCCAGAGAGACATGTCTGCTGCCAGCTGTCTGCTGACTGAAGATCAGTTTCTGTGCTCCATCTGTCTGGATGTGTTCACTGATCCAGTCAGCACACCATGTGGACACAACTTCTGTAAAGCCTGCATCTCTGAACACTGGGATAGAAATGTCCCGAGTCAGTGTCCCAACTGCAAAAAGGTTTTCAACATAAAGCCTGAGCTGCAGGTCAACACTTTCATCTCTGAGATGGCTGCTCAGTTCAGACAGTCAGCTCAACAGAAAGCCAGCAGCAGCAGCTCAGAGCAACAAGTTGTCAAACCAGGAGAAGTTCCCTGTGACGTCTGCTCTGGAACCAGACTGAAGGCCCTGAAGTCCTGCCTGGTGTGTCTGGAGTCCTACTGTGAGACTCACCTGGAGCCTCACCTGACAAAGAAAGGCTTAAAAAGACATCAGCTGATCGACCCTGAGGAGAACCTGGAAAGCAGGATGTGTGTGAAGCACGATAAACTGCTGGAGCTGTTCTGTAAGACCGACCAGGTGTGTGTCTGCATGCTCTGCACTGTTTTAGACCACAAGACACATGATGTTGTTCCTCTGAAAGAAGAATATGAAGGAAAGAAGGCTGAGCTGGGGAAGACAGAGGCTGAAATTCAGCAGATGATCCAGAAGAGACGACTGAAGATTCAGGAGATGAATCGCTCAGTGGAGCTCAGTAAGGAAGGAGCAGACAGAGAGATAGCAGATGGTGTTCAGGTCTTCACCGCTCTGAAGGAGTCTGTTGAGAGAAGCCAGGCCGAGCTCATCGACACCATCAAAGAGAAGCAGAGAGAGACAGAGGAACAGGCTGAAGGCTTCATCAAAGAGCTGGAACAGGAAATCTCTGAGCTGAAGAAGAGAAGCTCTGAGGTGGAGCAGCTCTCACGCTCTGAAGACCAGCTCCACCTCCTCCAAAGCTTCACGTCCCTGAACGCTGCTCCACCCACCAAGAACTGGACAGAAGTCAGGGTCCGTCCACCTTCATATGAGGGGACTGTGAGGAGAGCTGTGACTCAGCTGGAGGAGACGCTCAGTAAACAGATGAAGAAGCTGCTCGAGGTGGAGCTGAAGAGGGTCCAGCAGTATGAGGTGGAGGTGACTCTTGATCCTGATACAGCACTTCCCTATCTCATCCTGTCTGATGATGGAAAACAAGTTAAACATGGTGATGTGAAGAAGAATCTCCCAGACAATCCAGAGAGATTTGATCCTTGTGCTGGTGTCTTAGCAAAGCAGAGTTTCTCTTCAGGAAGATTGTATTACGAGGTTCAGGTTAAAGGGAAGACTAAGTGGTATTTAGGAGTGGTCAGAGAGTCGATCAACAGGAAGAGAAAGATCACACTGACTCCTCAGAAAGGTTACTGGACGATAAGGTTGAGGAATGAAAATGAGTACAAAGCTCTTGCTGTTCCTCCAGTCCGTCTCTCTCTGAAGTCTCAGCCTGAGAAGGTGGGGGTGTTTGTGGATTATGAGGAGGGTCTGGTCTCCTTTTATGATGTTGATGCTGCAGCTCTGATCTACTCCTTCACTGGCTGCTGCTTCAAAGAGAAACTCTACCCACTCTTTGGTCCTTGTTTTAATCATGGTGGTAAAAACTCTGCCCCTCTGATCATCTCTTCTGTCAATCACACTGAGTAGAAACAACATTTAATTTTCTACAGAAAGATTCACTCTCACTAAATGTAATAAATGTATTCAACTGGGGAAGTACATTGTACACATTGTTAATTTTTCAGAATCTGATCACATATGGTTCACCTTGATGAGACGCAAAAAAACACATCAAATACTGATGAGTATGTTCTAATGTACTCTAGTTTATTCTACGGATTGCACTACCTGCCGTCATGACTTGAAGTGATCAGAAAACTATTTACTCAGAAATAAACTTTTACCACTTCTTTATATGTCAGGGGGACAAGAAAAGTATTTATTGTCTCAGAATTGTGTGTTCAAAAAGTGTTTCATACTTGCACACATTACTAGTGGAAGTAATGCACTCCTTTTCATTCGTAAAATACTGTAGTGTATATATATTTTTATAATTTTCAATTGAGGGGAAAATGATGGGTCTCTGGTGTGTTTTAAAGGGGAAGTTCAGGATTGATTATTGAATTATAGTATATTGGTACAAAATGTATTTACAGTTACTTGGAGAATCAACAATATCTGATCATTAAACATTAGGCTGCAGTGGTTTAACAAACCAGGGGAATTAAAATGTTACATCTCAGCTGTCTGTTGTGTTATGTTAATTGTATTTCGTCCACCTCTCTGCACACTGCTTGTAAAGTTTGAACAAAGCCTCAATGGATAAAAAAAAAAGGAACAAAGAATGTTATTTTTTGTGTTTTTTTAAATGTACTAACTGAAGTACAGTTTTCACTAGTTCTCAACTTAGGGAATGTAGCTTAAAATAAATGTCCATTTCTACTTAACACCATTTGTCTGATAGCTTTGGTTCTTCTGAAGCTTTATAAACTATTTAAAACCCTCTTGGATCAGCTGATCATAGATATTGAGATTGCTGAATATGTTTGTTAGAAATAAGGCCATCAACTGGTTAGCTTAGCTTAGCATAAAGACTGGAAACAGGGGAAGACAAAGCCAGCCTGTCCAAAGGTAACAAAATCCACCTATCAGCAGCTCTGAATCCAGTTTGTTTAATCCATACCAAATCAGAGGAGTAAAAACATCAATAAGACGTTTAACAGGGGATTATGGGTCGGGCTATTTCTTGACTGGGACCAAAACAAGTTGCCAAATTGTTTTTACATTTCAGTTTTTGTACAGAGATATATCAAGTACACTTAAATGTGTATTTTGTCACACACTATTTCCCCCCTTTTCCTGGTATATATGCTA